GTACCACATTTCCTACGACATATCCCACTTGACAAATAATTTTATTCCATTTCCTCTCTCATCGTCATTCAGCTCTTTGAACCCTTACCCCATCGAAGTACGAAAAAACAAGGGTAATTACCTCTGCTGACTTTTTCCCACAGAAACAACAGGACACAAACCTCCTCTCTCTACTCTCAGTAATCGAGCACGTTTCGCATTCCTATCAATATCGAAGGAAGTATGATTTTGGTTCGTGTATTTTTCTTAACTTCCGAAGAATAGTGACTGTTCACAATTATACTTTATTTTTTAAACTGACATCTTATTAGGTGTACAACACACTGACGTTATCACAGCAATACGCATACCTTACGAAAATAACGCCACAGAAGATTTTCTCATCAGGTCTGCTTTTTTGTTTGGATGGGACATTGGTGACTTCTGACAACAATAAAAACGCAAGAAATCGGGGAAATGTGTCCACCAAATTCGTGTGATAGCAGCAACGTTACTGACGAAGTTTCCAAGACACAGTGCCAGTCGCGTCGGCGAAGAGAACCCCGCACCGGAAAAACATTTCATCAAACTGCGATAAGCCCCTCGACCGCATGCTGCCCTTCGGTCGGCTATCTCTGTTCAGCTGGCACGTACCGCGGCGTTTCTTGGCACGGAGCACAGCGACGACAGCTCCGCGCATTTCTCTTTCCGCAGCTATCGGCTTATCCCAAACATAAAGATACTGTAAAGGAACAATTGCTTGAGGTACTTTCGTTGAAATTTTTATGATAGATAGTATTGGAGGGTAGTGATTTCCTTTCGATTACTGAGTGTTCGGTCAGAAAAAAAGTTGTGGCTATTACGCCCGGGTTCATATTCAGTGCACAGGCTGATTAACAATGGATAAACCAATAAGAAAGTATTTGGTTTGAAATATTTTGTAAATACAGACGCAACGTGAGTGAATGAAGGATAGTTTATAATAGCAGACGAAACGTGAATAATAAGCATTCTGAATTGAGTCAACATATAACAGCATTATATATGTCGGAGAAACTAGACGGAGAAACACATTTCCTTACACCGTATTACATCCAGAAATGAATGGAAAATAACACTGAATATTCGCAATGAAATACAAGAAACAGAGAGGCATGTGTTTTACCACAACACGAATCACAATCGAATAGCTGTAAATAATGGAAAGCTGTTAATTTTGTTGGCATTTATTTACATAATACTGCAATAGCTTACGCTAGCTACAAATTTTTAATCATATTAATTATTATATTATCTGATGGAACAGTATTCCCTGAGAAAACTCAGTTTGCGGACAGCTGTTGCAGTAACGTTAATTTCAGATTTTGTGATCAAATGTAACCTCTCTCTCTAGAATGATGAACTTTATAATTATCCGAAAAGGAAAAATAAATTACATTGTTATTCGCAACAAAAGATCAGACTTTCGATTTTGCAAGCGTATTCCAAGGACAGTGTGGTTTCCATGACGATAGTAATAATATTATTAATAAAACAGAAATATCCTTTTGGTTTCAATAAGTATGTTTATTTCTCATACATGACGTTTGGCACGTTGGTTACATTCATCTTCAGGTATGTACATTTAATAAAAATAATAGACTTGTTTAGATCTAAAAATAAAATAGTAATAATAGTTGTATTAATTCTCTCTCGTGCTCTTTGCCACTGGAGGACTACCCACAGCCACTCTATCTCCAGCAACTAGAGGACTACCCACTACGTAAACTGCAAATTTATTTTTGACGCAGTAAATTGTTGTTATTAAAATATTACATTTTTTCACTGTGTATTTTGTGCAGGACCACTGCTTGTCTAGACTCGACTGGTCTCTCACGGCAAGACACAAATCAGAGTTGTTCTATAGATAATTTCAGTTAATTAATTCCAATCATTGGTACATCCCATAGAGTATTTTTTAGCTGTCAAGGATTATTGTTTATTGTATCTGCTCCACGCACGAAAATGGATTCCAACACATCGAATACATGCATATTTCCGTATTAGTTCAGTCGTGAACGTGAATATTGGTTGTAAGCCGATGTTTTGTAAGCTATCCGCTGACGTCTTTTTATTTTCTCTCCCTTTCCACTTTTGCATGCAAAAAAGTGATTTAATCTACCTTCATCAATAGAAAGCGGATGCATTTGTATCTCACTTTCAGACCGCATTCCAAAGAGATAACACCCGTATCAGAATACCATCGACACATTCACGATTTAGTTTTCTTCCTATTATCGAAGCTCCATCCCAAAATATTTTACGGAGCCAACATGCATAATAAATAAAACAAACACCAAAAAACAAAAACTCAGTACTAACATATCTTGTGAAATTGATGAAACTCCACCTTTAACAAAATATTGCCTCACCGTGTGGTCGCTTTTACATATCAATCTAAAAATATTCTACATGCCTCTCTTATTTCCAGGAAAGTATCGCAAGTAGTACCAATGCTGAAAACTTCAAAACACCCTGAGCTACCCAGTCCTGCCCTCCCTTTTTTTTCTTATACACACACACACACACACACATATATATATATATATATATATATATATATATATATATATATATATATATATTCTTGTATTATTTGTAATAGTTGCAGAATATTACAACTCGCAAAACTATTTTTACTTTAACTTACAAAAATATTTTTGCGGGTTGGGATTTGAATTTGAGAGCTTGTTCAATTCAAATTTGAGAGGTCGTTGCACTACGAATACTGGTTATATAATCCGACTCCCGAAGCATCGAAAAGAAAGTTAAACTTTTGCAATTTTCGAAATTCGAACAGTTTTATTGAAAAGCGGACATATGTCGTATTAATATGCAATCTTTATTTAATTCGAGCAAGAAAGGTGAAGCAAAATATGGAGCTGTTTTTGATAAAATTACTAGCCCTATGACAACGTCTGCGGAACTCACAAAGGCGGAAAACGAGGTCCTGGCTGAATTGATAGGAAATTCTTAATCTGTACAGTTCACAAATATGTGACGTGTGTCTTCGTTTTAGAAGTGACCATTTTCTTCAAATTTTGCTTTATATTGAGATCGTAGAGGTAAGAAACGTACAGTGTCTTAATTGTCTTAAAACTGATTACACAAATTTCAAGAATCCTCCAAAAGTCTTAGAGTATTTCAATTTAATGTAATCAAAAAGTTAATATACTAGTCATACAAATTGTCTTAATCCTTCTTTTACTTTGAATGGGTACAATATGTATCCACACTACATATTTCTCTTAGAATGTTATTGAAGGTTTTAAATTATAATTCTTGCAGTTCGCGTTGAAGGTAATATGGCCATGTACGGCGCCTCAAATTTTCCTGGTTATATATTTCAATCTTTGGGCAATGTTAACCCATGCTTCAAGTTGAATTAGCTATATCACAAAAAATATAATTCAGGAATATTTTGTTGTTGTTTTAAAAAACATTGTAATATGTAGGTAAAATGCCCACACGCAGGTTTTATGGCCTTTGCCAGATTATCTGGTTTCTTCTAGCATGTCCATGAAGTTAGGGCTAGCTATATTAACATGATATGAATTACCCTCTTACAATCTAAAAATCTTGTAGTATTATTACAAAAATACGGTCTGACATGATTTCAGTAACGCTAGGATTGCTGGGTTATTCATAACACATTCAGTATTATCTACAAAGTGACTTTATTTTACAAAGTTGAAAAACATCAGTAAGTGCTTGAAAACATACAAATAAATAGTTTAATAAGTTTCATGTTGAGGACAAATGAAAGTTTTTATCTCTTTAATAGTTAGTCCTGTACTCTTGGCCATATTGAGAGCAAAAACATTTTATAAAATCTCTCCCATGTTGGTAAAATATTGAGCAAATTTAACAGAGTTAATCTGATTATATTGCTCACTAAATGCGTTAAATACTGTTGTATACAGTCAAAATACTAAATCTACCTTAAAGTGTAAATAATGATACAATTTCCTGGAAAGAAGGTATAAGGACAGGTAGCCTTTAGAAAGTTCTTGACAACGCTGACGCTATCGTAACTACATCTATTTTTAAAGTGTACAACAAAATATTTAAAATATCACCCATTAGACAATTAGGGGTCTACCCTTCTCTTCAAATAAAATGAGCATTTAAAAAATAAATGGAAATTTTTTTAATATATTTATATTTTTAAATTAAAACACAAAAGTAGCTTCATTACCTGCAAATAGATACAACTATATTCTCAATCCGTATAATCATCTTATAGTAATATAAATTTTAAACAAAGGAATTTTTTTTGAAAACATAGTGGGTCCAAAATGTACCCAGTCATTACAAGTTCAAAAATATTTCGCTTAGAAAGCGAAGAGTTCATCTTTTTTTTGTTTAATTTAATACAAAACACGTGTTTTGATTTTTAAATTACTTTTTTCTATTTTCAATTTCACTCCCTGCAAGAATCATTTACTACTTGGTATTCGACTTAATCGATCTCTTATCTTACTCTATTCTGTTTTCAAGAAAGTTCACAAAAAATTGAAATACAGTTATTTCACCTCAACTTATGCTATCCTTCATTACCGCTTATAATAATATGACTAAAAAATCCCTTTTTTATATTTATTTTTTACTATTTCTTTTATTTCTCATTTTGTGCCCGTGAATCATATGACCTTAATACGAATAACAATGGCAATCATATTTTGAATGAAGGAGATGTTGCGTTAATTGTTTTCTGGCATATAAAATAATGCATTATTAAACGAGATATTTCATTGTCTTCCAATCCAAGACGGCAACTTCTTTCTCATTCAAGCTAATGCTACCTCACTGACCATGTACTTCAGAGCAGAGCGTTGGAAGAGGGCGCCCTCCTGAGCCGAGGCTCGAGGCAGCGGTAGGTAGCAGAGCAGCGTGACACGACGCGACGCGACGCAATGCGAC